TGCTTCAAGAACAGAAGGGCTCCCAGAGCAGAAGTGCCTCTTAAGGCTTTATTGAAACAGAGGACCTTTGGTTCTCTGCTCCAGATCAGAAGTCCTCAGGACCTCTGTTAGTATTGACTCTGACAGAAACCCTTCTGGGTCTCTGTTGGATACTCCCAACAGAAGTGCTCCAGACCTCCTCTGTTCTACTCTCTGACAAAGACACCAGAAGGTCCGACACTTAGAAGATTTTCAAAGAACCGGGAAGTCAACTTAAAGATTCCTTCAACGGCTAGGAGTATAAAACGGAAAAGCTACAGTGCATGCATTAAATGCTCATTTAATGCACCCCATGCTACGTAGAGTAATTGCAGATGATTGGCCGGAATGTCAGGAATACTTTATCCCAAAATAGTAACCCGCCAACCTTATCGGGCTCTACTAGTCAAGTCAACTGATCGCTCATTTAATGCAGTTGTCCTCCTACTCCTCCAACGGGAAGACAACCTCAGTATAAAAGATATACTACGAAGAACAACCGGATAACTTTGCCATAACCTTGTTATCACATTGCTAACCAAGCAAGATATTCAAACTCTGAAAAGCAAAAGCCTCCTTGAGATTCAAACTTAGTATACTCTACAAGAGAAGGCAGAAGTTGGAAAAATACTCTTTCCAACTCAAGCAAAGTTCCAAGTGTTGTTCAACTCTTCAAGCTCTTCACATACACATATTTTGTAACGAAGCTAGTTGGAGGAACCTCAGTTTCAACAGAAACTCTTCTTGCTACAAGAAGGACGTCCCAATAACTGGAGTAGTGAAGTGGTGATACTTCAAGGAGACTCAGTGAAAGGACCAGTGTTAAAGGAAGCCAGGCAGTGCATCCCAGGACACATCTAGACTTGAAGAAGACGTGGAGTGATTCTTAAGTGCTAGGACTAAGGCTTTGTAAACGGCAGTTTTTACAGCTTAGTGGAACAGTGGATTAGAGGAACGAGTTGTTCCTTGAACCACTATAAAAATCCCTGGTGTCATCTACTTACTGCTTTTAATACTTGCACTTAGATAGAACTGTATAACTCCTTGGACTTGGTATCTGTGTTCAGCAGAACTGGTTCTACGAGTTAACAGAAGGCCTTCTGCCTTTGCTTCTCTGAGGCTAACAGAACTCCCTGCCAGAACCCCATCCGCTGCCAGTCTGTTCTCTCAACAGAACAGGCTATTCTGAAAATCTGGTACTTAGTTCAAAAAGCTAAAAACCAATACAGTCTATTCACCCCCCCCCCTCTAGACTGTATCCAGTATAACCGGGACCAACACATCGGCTCCGGCCACATGCCTCAGGAGTTCGTCAACGAGGCTTTCTTCGGCCGGGAGAAGCTGGAGGCCTTCGTCTCGAGGGGTAGCTCTGTTCTGGAAGCTACTCTATGCCCCTCGGTGTTTATGAGCCAGGTGATGCCCTCGGGGGACAGGGCGATACTGGCTCGAGTGGATGAGGATGCCCTTAATTCTAGGATTCTCTTGAGCAGCGCCTCCGTAAGTCATTCTTTCCTTCTAGGTTTATTCGCCTTTGTTTTGTGTAATGTATGTGGTACGTCTGACCCTTAGCTCCTTTGTTGCTGCAGACTTATATGGGCATCTGCGAGCAGATCCAGAGGGCGGACCAGTTGAGAGAGGCCAAGACTGCCGCTGATGAGGCCTTGACGAAATCCGATGAGGAGATAGCCTCCCTTCGGAAGAAACTGGCAGATGCTGAGGCTAGCATGGGCCCGAGGCTGGAGGCTGCTAAGGCCAAAGGCAAAGCTGTTGCTGAGGAGGCCGCCAGGATCGCTGTTGAGGCTGCCGAGAGGGCCAAGCTCGAGGAGGTAGCAAAAGCTGAGAGGGCTGCCGTTGAGGCCTTCGTCGCCGAGGGATGGATGGCCGAGGACAGAAAAGAGTGGGTCTCCTCGGTGCTGGAGAAGAGTGTGGATGCCTGGGTTGGAGGCCTCGGCAAAATGTGGTTGGCCATGAAAGGCAAATCATATTATCAAGGGGGTGAGTTCTTCACCCAACGTCTGATATACCGGAAGCTGGCCCAGCATCTCAACATTCCCCCAGAGAGTTTTGAGCCAGAAGCCCACGGTCTCCCCCCTCGGTAGCCAGATATCAGAATCCCCTTGCCCCCGGATGTGGAGAGGCCGACCCTGGAAGACTCTGAGCTGATGAGGGAGTGTGACCTGGATGGTGAAGATGAGGCTGATGACGGTGCTACTTCCAAGGCCACTGAGGAAGATGTTGCGAAATGATTGTACTTAAAAACTTCTGAACAATGTTGTGTAATAGCATTTCATAGCTTCCGGAATCGGCCCTCATGCAACAAACACTTTTTATTTTTGTGTGAATGAATGCCTTTTATGCTTTTGGTTTCTTTTGCTTCCTTGTCTGCGTGTGGTTTCTTTAATTGTGCTTTATGAATGAATTGTGAATCCTCTCTCGCTTGTGACCGGAGGCCATCGTTTTTGGACTTGTAAAATTTAGACCAATACACAAAGTATAGGCCTCCGTCATTGCTTGGTGTGGCGGGGGGCCTTGAGTCATGGACATAGAAAAACTTCCATTCCATCTACAAACCAGTAACCTCCTACGATGGAAAGAGTTCTGGTACTTATTGAGATGCCGAAGGTTATGCCATAGGAGACTTCGGATGTAGCGTAGGAGCCTTCGAATAAGAGTGGTTTCCCTCGGTACTTTGTTGAGATGCCGACGGGTGTAGCGTAGGAGCCTTCGGGTTTGGCTTCCAAAATGTGGACTTAGAAAATCTAAACCCAATATATAAGAGTAGGTGCCCTTGGTACTTTGTTGAGATGCTGCTGGGCTCTGAGACATGGACTTTGTATAATTTCCTCATTGATTCCTCGCTGAGTCTACTCCCCCTCACTCCATTGTTTTTGTATGATGGGGGGGGGGGCTTCAAGAAACTTGGTTTCTTGGGAAGACTTGGTCTATTTGGGAGGCAACGGTGTGAGTCACTGGCTACCCCTCGGTGTTTGACCTTCCGGGATCCGAGGGGTGTGAGAGTCGTTTCCTCGGCCCGAGACATCGTCTGTTGCCTACCTCCCTTTGGGAGATGGCGCGGAAAGCGTCTCATTTTTGAAAGTCGTTCCCTTAGCCCGAGACATCGTCTGTTGCCTGCTTCCCCTTGGGGGATAGCGCAGGAAGCGTTTCGTTTGTGAAAGTCGAATCCTGGGCCCGGGACATCGTCCATTGCCTGCCATTCCCTTGGGGTAATGAATCGGAAAGCGTTTCAGGGAAGGGTTTTATTTGCATGCTCGACGCAAATATCTGGGGGCACTTGGCGCCTTCCGGAGCCGATAGGTGGTGCCTTCGGTATGGGGGTATCCTCGAGGGGAACGGCTTTGTTCTTAGCATAATGCTGTGGGTGTTCATTCAAAACACTTGGTGTTATGTTTCATAGTCTGCCTCTGGTACTTGGTATCGAGGGCTCATTTCAACGTAAAAAACACTTGGTGTTTTTTCTTCTAATTGTAGTTGATTTGAAGATTCATCCTCGGCACTTGGTACCGAGGGCTTGTGTTTACATAATTAGAGTGGAACACTTTATTATTTTGAGAGAAAGCCTTGGGCCGGGGGCTTGTCCGAGGGTTTGGCCACTCGAACAAATTGTTATTGATAGAACTTCACCAAGTGATGTACATTCCAATGTATGGGGACTTCGGTCCCGTTGTGGCGTTTTAGCTTGTATGTTCCAGGTTTGATGATGGTTGTAACTGTGTATGGCCTTTCAAACTTTGGTGCTATTTTTCCGCCCTCGGTTGGTTGACTAGCCTCTCTCCTTCGGAGGACGTAGTCCTTCACTTGAAATTCTCGAGAGCAGACCTTGGACTCGATGTAGCCTTTTACTTGTCTTCGGTAGTTCTTCGCCCTTAGGAAGGCTTGCTCTCGGTGCTCTGATAAGTCCGTATTTAGAAATGCATTTGATGCGTGTTCGGATCAGGTTTGATGGTTTTCCCTAGCTTTAAGGTGTTACAAGTCTCAATTTTAGCTCAAGTTATGTTTACCGGGCGTTGGTTCGAGTTTTGTGTCATTTGGAGTCAAAATGAGGATTTTAGAGTTCGGCACCGGCGCTTGAGAAGAAATCAGGATGAGTTGAGAAGCATTCCAAAGTGATTTGAGAGCTTTGGAGGTCACAGGGAGGTTCACGATGAAGATTTGAAGGAAAAAGAGCTCTAGGATTGGCTACGGGATCAAAAGAAGATGAATGGAGCTTGAAATCGGCGATCAGGATGACATTCTGTCAATCGTTCAAGCATATCTCTTTGTAGAAACATTCAATGTACACGATTCAAAGTCCATATGAAATCTAACTTCAAGGGATACGAATCATATGAAGACACCTTTCCTAGAATCTGAGAGAAAGAAGATGAAAACAAATGATGAAGTCAGATGATCTCTGTTGCGATTTAAGAATGATACCTTCCACCATTTTGATTATATCTCTTGATTGGATGATATAAATCACATTCGGCAAATTGGGGTGGATAGAGGACTTCATTCTCTACACCTTTCATAAAGGAAGAACTGCCAAATTCGGAAGTTAAGTAGGCACGATCGTGCCCTCAAAGTCAGGGACGATCGTGCGTGAAGAAAAGCATCGCAGAGCTACTGCCAGGCAGGCACGATCGTGCTTGGAGGGAGGCACGATCATGCCTGCCCAAAATGCGCGTTTTTCCTCCAGAGGCACGATCGAAAGCACGATCGTGCCGGGCACCGTGCTTGCCTCCGGAAATCCCAATTCAGCTCAAATTTTACCTAATTTTTCTATTTTAACAGCCTGTAAAACCACGTTTTCTTGTTCATCAAACTTTTGGGATTCTTTGTAAGTTCCACCTTTTTAATTAATGACAATTAATTCTTTTCTTTCCAATTCTATTGATTCTTCAATTATGAATTGTGAGTAATTTTAATTAGGGATTTGGGATTGATGAAGGGGTTGATCATGATGTATGGCTAGATTCTTGATGGTTTAATTGCATGAATGCCGTTTAATTTGTGTTTGAATAATTTAATTGATATCTTTTGTAACCTGGAATCGCGGCTAGAATTACAATTGCTTATAGAATAAATTAAGAGAGATCTAGTTTATTCTAGGACATATTCACACATACTTAATCGTTCGCTAAGAGATTAGTAGCGATTAAGGGACCGTAAGCTCGCTTGTCTTGGCAATAATTTAGGATCATGTCGCATGAGAGATCAGCCCGGTCCCCTAAATTATTGTACTCTACGCCGCGAGAGCGGTAAGAACTTAGTAATGATTAGCTAGACTCAATTGAATTAATTTCATGTAATTAGGCCTGATCTGCCAGAAATCTGGTTACCCCGCAATCAATCCTTATTCCCTTCGTCATTAATTAGAAAGAACATCCTAGTTTAATCATTTTATTCGCATTTTTATTTTCCAGCAACCAATCTCGCATGACGCATTTTTATTTATTTCTTTTTAATCGCTGAATTTAGTTAATCTTTGATTCCCTTTTATCCGTCCCTATGGAGACGATACTCGTACTTACACCACTATATTACAATCTATTTTAAGTGCAAAAAAACTCACATCAGTTTTTGGCGCAGTTGTCGGGGACAGTGTCGGTTTTAAGGGTTAATTAATTTCAGCGAGATTTTTTTTAGTTAGTTTTCTTTTTTGTTCTTCGCAGTATTTTTATGTGCTAACCTTTTCAGGTTTTTTTTCCTAAGAGGCATGAGATGAACCCATTCAGCCAAATTCCTGGAGGAATTCGTTACCCTCAAACCTCCATGGGATATTCACCATTTACGCCATATCCTCCTTACACTCCTCAACTTTACGCACCTCATCAAAATTACTCTCCCATTCAACAAAATATTCAGTCTTACTATTCATACTCTCCAACCATGCAACCTAGTCTGTCTAAGAATAATTTTTGTTCCTTCTGTGGAGGATGCCACCATATATCTTTTTGCCCCGTTAAACGTGCTTATGACCATTCTTACTGGACAACTGCATACCTGATAGATTATATATCTAGAGAGAAGTGAGAGCTAGAGAGAGAAGTGCAGTAATTTCCTTGCAATAAATGAATTGTCAACCCCTACAACTACTCCTAGAGGAAGTATTTATAGGGAAAATACGGGCTGGACTCCCATGCCTTGGGCTTGGGAGGCCCATTTACAACAGGGCCTCTAATGGGCCGAATACAAAGTGTACAGAAATGACTAAGTACAAAATCCTGTTCTAGAGGTTATCTATGGCCGACGAGGGCATGGCCGATGAGGTCATGGCCGATGAAGACCCGGCCGACGAGGTCACCCGGTTCTCCTGGCTTCTGGATCATATTCTGAGTAGACTTCTTTCTGGCCAATGGAGGTCATGCGGCCGACGAGGGTCCCACCAGGTGTTCATGGTACCTTCTGTTCTTCTGAGTATGCGGGTCCTGGGGCCTAGACCCATATACTCCATCAGGAGTCCCCCACTCTCTAAGCTGAGACGTTGACGAAGTGAAGGAGAGTAGATTTCTGTCCTTTTTTATTTGGCCGTTGTGTGCTCCTCGATGTGGACGAAGAGGGCCCTAGTCATGCAGATGATGCGTGTTTTCTGTTTAAGGATGACAAGTGCCTTTTCTTGGTGGAGCAATGAGCGTCCTCTGTCATGAGTGGTCGATGAAGACGGTGCTTTCTTATTCCTGACCGTTGATGGTTGAATTTCGTACTTTGGGCCGAGGAGGCCATTGTGGTTATCTCTTGTTTGAGGATGATGGGTGTCCTTTTGTTTCCGGGCGGCCGGTGTGGGTGCTGTTTGCTTTCTTTGGCCATCGTTGGTTGCATTCTGTGCTTTTGGCCGAGGAGGCTCCATGTTTTATTTTTAGGGCTTTGAGCCGGAGCGGTGTGGTGGTGATTTGGTGTCCGAGGAATGTTGGACGAAAGTGGTCATGGACGATAGTGGTGCACAGATGATGTGGCCTCGTGTACTTGTGCATCTTTTGATTTTCTCATTCCATCTTTGCGTCTTGAGGCCAGGGAAGTCACCCAGTCCCCCACTGCTTCAGGCCGAAGAGAGAGTGAGGCGTGAATGAGTGGTTTGAGACCTAGGCCGAAGCGGGATCCTCATGCTGCCCTTGAATCCAACCCTCTGGCGATTTCCTGACCAAGGTAACCCTGTGGGAGAACCCTTGGACACAGGACACTTTCAAAGAGTTATCATCAAGGGTTTTCACGAGGGCCGACGGCTGTTGTGTTATTTTTGCTCGTATTTTGTTGCCGATGTGGGGGCCATTTGTTGGTAATAAGTGTGGCTGACATGGGCGCATCTTGGGGCTTCAAATGCCGTGGTGCGGCCGTTGAATCCCCTGACCGTTGTAGGTGCTAGTCTTGGTGTGTGGCACCGCTGGGCTTATTGTACTCGAAGTGGGCTTGGCCCATCTTTGGAACGGTAGCATCCCAGTGGTGACCATTGGAGCGGCCACTGGGGTGGCACCACGTGTAGTGACCGTTGGGGGAAAGGTCTATAAATACCCCCCCTTTTTCGAAAGTGTTCCCCCATTTGCATTTTGAGCTAACGAAGTGCTTCCCAAATTTCTAGAGAGAGAGAGACTTGTTCGTGTGTTCTTCCGTTCTTCAAAACTTCAAAGGTCATTTCATCGAACTTTTCTCCACTTCCTTGCATATTTTGCTTCTTTTAGACCTTGATCCAGTGTTAGTCACGAAAACACCTCAGATCTGAAGTAGTCCCCCTTAGAACTGTGATAGCTGTTATAATGAAGACCTTAGACGATGAGTACTACCCTTACGACGATGAGGCCCGTGTTAAGTCCCTTGACTACCGGGTGGTGGAAGAGTGCTGTGAGGAGATTGAGGACTTGAGTCCCTTGAAGACGGGGGAGCAAGAGGACGATGAAGGTGTGGGCGAGGAGGCTGCCTCGTCGTCTGAGGGGGAAGACATAGGGGTCTCCCGCGCCATGGACGGTATGTCTACTTCAACCGCCATTCCTTGCCCGAAACCGGTTTCTGCCGTCAAGGGAACCGCCCCGAAGAGGAGGCGTCGGCCGAAGAAAGGCCCAGGTTTCTCCTATTTGGACCTTAGCAACATCTACCTCATCAGACCGGAGACTGGTGCGTCTGACTACTTAGTCACCCAAATGTATGTAGGGCCTTTTCGTAGGGTTAGGGCTCCTAGGCCGACGGACCACGTTCTTAATCCTCCATCGGGGTATTTTGGGCTGTACCCAATGAGTTTTGCGAAAGGACTTCGATTCCCGCTTCATCCTTTCATCACGGAGTACTTGGATATGGTGGGGCTTCCCCCGACCTTATTGTCCCCGAATAGTTATTCCTTGATCGTCGGATTTCTCCTTCGCTGCGCTCAGTTGAACTACAAGCCGACGACGGCTCTGTTCAAGAACCTGTACCAGATAGGCCGAGGCAGCCACCAGAATTGTGCCGGCTACGCCAACCTTCAACAGCTACCGAAGAAGAGGAGCTTTACTGAGCTTCCTTCGTCTATCCATGGTTGGAAAGGCAAGTTCATTTTTGTGTCGTTGGGTGAGGGAGGCACTGAGTTTCCCTCCATCGGCCACAGTGGTAGATTCACCCTCCATGATGTGCCGAAGAGTGTCATCTTGGATGCTCAAGTGGCTGCATTTTTGGAAGGGGGACGAGGAGCGTAAAAGATTACATCACAGAGTATAAGATGACCGCCCTCGGCTAATATAGTGTGCGGTGAAATAGTGCAATAACAATGTCATGTATCAATCTAAAATGGGTGAGGGGTGGGTAGTGCTCTTCAGTGGGCTAGCCATCCCACCGACTCTCCAGGGCTGTCAACCGCGTCTCAATCGAGGCTAGGCCAGAGGTGATGTCTGTGAAAAACTGCTGCTGGTGCAAGTATAGTCGCATATAAATGTCTTCTTGATGCTGATGCATTCCCTCCCAAGTGGTTGGATACACATATCCCTGGGGAGGGGGCACATAAGGGGCCTCGTGCGCCATCTCGTGCTCCATCTCATGCTCTCCATGCTCCTCCTCATGCTCTCCATGCTCCTCCTCTGCAGCTCCTACTTCATCTTCCTGCGCCCTGACCAGAATTATCTTGGGTAGCTTCTTCATTGGGTGGGTGCTGTCAATCCTAGTTATCCCCTCAAACTGATCCTCGTACCCCATTCCTTTCAGCAGGCGTGTAATATAGGAGCTAGCGAAAATCGCCTTAACTCGGTAATTGGCATGTATGAGGAACAGGCCTGCGAAAAGAGCTCCAAAGATCGGCCTCCTCTCATTGATCATGCACCATAGACAGAAAAGATCAGTGGCAGAGACTTTGCCGCTATCTTCTGCGTGGCCTGAAATAGTAGAACTCAGGAGTGCGTGGACCACCCGGTACTGGAATGGGTGTAGTGTTGTGCTGGGTGCAGTCTGGGGTTTATATTCACCGGCACCCGGGGCAATAGATTTCCAGAAATCTTTCTGGTTTACTTCTGGTGGAATGTCCAGTAAGCTCCCCTCCCAACGGGCCACGTCATCTAAAGTATCGAAGACGAGATGCGCCGAGATGTCGCTCACAGAAATGATGTGAGACTCACCAAAAGCTCGGAACTTGATTACTGGCAGAAATATGTTGTCGAACGTCTTGGGTGCCTTGAAAGAAGACAGCACCTCACATGTGATCTCCTTGTAGGTGGGCTCGACGATGCCAAAGAAGAGGTGCTGCCACCAATCACGATGAAGGAGCTGCATGACCTCGTCTCGTATGCCGACCTGCCCTAAGGTGGGTAAATGGGGATACAGCCTTTGCCCCACGCTCATGTTCATCAATTCGTCATATTTTTGTCTTTGTGCCTCGTCCACAAACTGAGGCAGATATGGGGCAGCCGGCTGAAGGCTCCCACTTTGTCCCGCTCGGCTAGAGCCGGCCCCAGTGCTGTCCCGCTGACGTTTGGAGGTTTGTTTAGTTCGGCCCATTTTGCAAAAGGATTTAAACAAGAAAATTCCAACGGGGCTTCCAAATGTTAGAATTGAGCACAATCAAAGAAAATCAATGGCCCCATCAGTAACCAAGAATCAGAAGCACTCATCAAAAGCAAAAATAAACCCGAGTTTAACCAGAATAGTTAAAAAGGTAGATTTTTATCAAAGAAAGATTCTTTGAATAAAATCCAAATTCTTAACGACACACGGTATAAACAAGATCACAAGCAAGCATATCTCATCACAAGTTCTTAGAATGAAGTTCTTCCAAAACGAATTATAAAGAAAATCAAAATTGGGGGAAGAACTCTCAATTCTCAAATTTGGCAAAGTTTGGGCTAAACATTGGGGATGCATGCACAAGTAGACTCAACAACAATCATTGAACATCTCAAACAACCATTCATTCCTTAATTGAAGCAAAAAGCACAAAATCCCCAAATTTTTCTCACTTTCAACAAATTTTAACCCTAAATTGGCTACATTAATTCAAATGTTAGGGCCTTGAAGCAAAAGAGGTAAAATCACCAACATAGAACATCAATAGCATCAATACAAGCCTCAATTTGAACAAAGAACTCAAAATCCCTATCATTCAAGCACAAGCAATTTCAGACATCACAAAGCTTCAAATCCTCCATTAATGGAGGAAGTAAGAAGAGAGAAGAAGAAAGAGTACCTTGATTGAGTAGAAGAGAGAGAAAGAGAGGATGTGGTGGTCTTGGAGTTGCGGCGGTCGGTGAGGGTGGTGGTCGTCGGTTTCGTCGGTCGTGGGTAGCAGGGGGAAAGCTCTGGGGTGTTGTTGTTACGATGTGTGAAATTAGGACGCAGGGTCGTTTTAAAAGGTGGGACGCATGCGTGCGTCCCCTAACCACGCACGCGTGCGTGGCTGGCAGTGTGTTTTACGTGATTTGGAAAGTTGGGACGCACGCATGCGTCCTTTGCAACGCACGCGTGCGTGGCTGGCAGTAAGCTTCAGGTTGTCCCCCCCGCACTGACGCACGCCCGTGCGTTGCTGCGATTTTTTTTGTGGGTTTATTAAAAAGCAGTAAAAACTAAACTACTGAAGCAAAAATTAAGCTTGGGTTGCCTCCCGAGAAGCGCTGTTTTTAACGTCGTTTGCCCGACGCAACTACGCACTCAACTCTCGAAATTTGTAATGAAGGTCACCTCACGTTCGCGATCCAACGGTCCTCCGTAGTACTTCTTCAAGTGGTGGCCGTTAACTTTAAAACAGCCCTTTTCAGGATGGTCTATCTCAACTGTACCGTATGGAAAAACTTCACTTACTACAAAAGGACCAGACCATCTAGACTTCAACTTTCCTTTAAAAAAATTCATTCAGGGGTTGAATAGCAACACTTGATCCCCCTTATAAAATTCTTTTCCTTGTTTGATATGCCGGTCATGATAGGATTTAGTTCGCTCTTTACTAATCTTAGAGTTCTCATAGGCCATAAGCCTCTACTCATCCAACTCGTTGAGCTTCCAAAGCCGCTCACGACCCGCCAAAGAAAGATCCTTATTCAGCGTCTTCAAGGCCTAGTAGGCCTTATGTTCAA